CTACAACGCCATGGACCGTGGATCTCGCTCTCCGTGCCTATCGTCTCTCGGTTTTTCCTTCACGCGGATCCTGTGGCCAAAATGCCAGGCACGATCCGCACCTCCCGACCGTCAGAGAAAGAATGAGTTGCCACGGAGAACGGCGACGGAGGGGTGGCAGGGATGTAACGGGCGAGTCCCGGCACCCCGGGATCACCATCTATTGCATGGTGGCAGCCCTGTCGACGACTCCAGCTCTAACCTGGAGCGAGAAGAGAGCGGGGTACGAGCGGTCGACGAAGGGCGGGGCCCAAGTGTTACGAAGGGTTACTTACCTAGGGACACCCTCGTTTCTCTCAACGCGAACGTCGAAGAAACGATTTTCAGGGTCGTGTCTTCAATTCAAGGTCCGAACTTCAATTCGACTCCGTCCGCCGTGTCGAACTTTGCGATCGTACAGACTTGGTAGAATGCTACAGCTTTCTCCCAAGTATTCTCGTACGAAGATGTCGGGATATTATAAATTATAGTCGCGCACGACACGAGAATATAAATTAGCTAGGGCGCAGTTTCCACATTTCCGTTTCCACATTTATACCTGAGCAACGTAGAGCTAACAACTAACATACTTACAATTACTTTAAACACGCAGCTAGTGCAGTACAATACTTAAAAAACATGTACTACAACTTTTAGAGTGAATTAAAAATTTAATAAATTTTTGAATTAAAAAAATTCAATTTTATACAATAATAAATTTTTTTAATGCACATTAAAATTAGAAATATGTGTATGTTTACTCTAAACTCTTTGAAGTGGAATCTTTTACTCTAAAGAGTGAAATCTCATTCTTAAAAATTAAAAATTCAACTACACTTTTTCAAGACTGACTCAATTTTCACTCTTTATAGTAAAATTCCACTTCAAAGAATTTAGAGAGCAAACGCACATATATTTCTAATTTCTATGTGTATTTTAAAAATTCATTATAAATTTATTAAATTTTTTTTATTCATTAAAAATTTAATAAATTTTTTTTTAACAGAGAATGAAACATTAATTTTATAAGACATAGAAGTGTGAAAGAAGATATACTTTATACCGTTTAAGCACACAGTAATGTTTACCGTGAACCAATATACCGATGACATAACTCATTCGCCGACATCAATCTAATTCGTAGGATGCCTAAAGTGCCAAGATAGAATCCTTTGAGTATTTTATGTCTTGTACGAGCGAAGAGGATTAAATCACGTTCCTCTGCAAATCGAACAAGTTCCCTTCTTCCTCGGATTGTTCGACTCCGAAACTGGTTTCCTCGCCACCTCGGCTAAATTTCAGTTAAGGATCGTGGATAACGATCCCCTTAAGCTCACGTTATCCCCAATAACGACGCAAATAGCTGGCAATCTCCCCCATGGCGATTTTTTTATCGTCCCGCATAACTCCGACAATCGTTGGTAAGAATCACGCCTTACATTATCGCGAAATTTTCGTGGAAAATTTCCATAAAAGGCGCCGCACTCTAATGCTTGAACGCAATGTGTCACCCCGAGAAATTGAAAATTTAAATCATTCTCTGCATTTTTAATGGAATTGGTAGATTACGCGCCGCAACACGTAACATTATATTTGAAGGAACAATTTTGCTGAAGAACCTAAAAATTTGATACATACAGATCTGAAAATAATTTTGTTGGATCATCAAAATAATTATGCAGGAATCATAAGCTGCAAAATATTTTGATATTCTAGCAACCAATTTTTCCGTCCTACGTAATTGTTTTGACGGTCCAGCAAAATTACTTCTCAAATTTGTATTTAAACTGAAAAAAAATGTCAATTTTAATAAATATTTAGTTGAATATACTGCCAACTAAATATTTATTAAATATAAAGATATATTTATTTGATACACGAAATGTTAATTTGATTTAACAATCATTTTTTTACTGAACAAATATTTATTTACTGTAAGTAAATATTTAGTTGGTAATATTGAACCAAATATTTATTAAAATTGACTATATTTTTTTTCAGTGTAGCTAAATTTTTAGATGCTTCAGCAAAATTGCTCTTTTAGTATAAAGGAATTTTGAAAGAATTGATCAATCGCTAAGTTGATCAGGTACAATGAATTTCCTGTTTCCCTTAATATAGTTCACAGAATCATATTAAGGATGATTAAAACGACGATTATCACCGGTTATTCATGTAATCTTTGCCGATTGCAGTGCACTACCTAGAAATCGGTCGTTTGGACTACGATGGTCGCTCGAGCGAAACAAAACACACGTTATATACCTGCTTGCAGTCAGCTCGGTTATATTACGAACAGCCTTTTGCCTTTGGCAACGAGAAGTTAGTGACTGATGAAAAACGATGAGTGGGGGATGTTTGAGAAGATGGAAAGCGGAGATAAATAACGAATGAAATTTTGGGGCTTGATCGCCATAAACGCCGATACGATAAATAAACGAGGAGAAGTATGAGATCTGTTTTCTATAGCTGAACTAGTATGTACACTTTTGGAATTTAAAATAAATAGTTATCTATTTATTTGATATTTAACGAAAACGAAAAAGAAAGCTTTAGTACAGTTTACTGAAGGAATAAAAAAACAGAGCTGCACGGGAAGAACGAGTTTGCTAAAGTATCTAAAAATGTAGGCACAGATCTGAAAATAACTTTGTTGGACCATCAGAATAAATTATGTAGAAAATTCAAACATGTTGCTGCAAAAGTTTTAACATTCTAGTATAATTGGTTTGAGTATCATAAGTTATACATCATTAATTTTGATAGTTCACCAAAATTAGTTTCAGATCTATATCTAGCCAATTTGATTACATTTTTAGATGTTTCAGCAATCGTTAGAAAACACAGATATGGTAAGTAAACACGAGGAGAAATACAAGATTTATTTCCTATATCTGAACACACTTTTGGAATTTGAAGTGACATAGTTATCTATTTGTTTGATATTTACTGAAGAGGAAAAAGAAAGTTCTAGGAATAAAAAAAAAACTGTTACATGGAAAGAACAAGTTTGTTAAAATATCTAAAAGCAATTTAAGTAGATCTGGAAATAATTTTATTAGACAAAATATTTATGCAGAAATCTCCTCAAGTACAACGAACAATGCTGCCAAAAGTTATTCTGGCAAAAGTTATTCATCTTGAGTGTCATGCATAATTATATTTTGACAATTCAACAAAATTACTTTCAAATCTGTATCCAGCGCTAATTTAATAAAAGATCTAAATATACTTCAATAAAACCGTTCTCTTTCCATATAGAACAGATATGAGACGAAATGAATATTATTGAAATCTGAATCGCCTAAGAGGTTATCTTTTACTCGCGATAAAGAGAGATAAATTGTAGGAATTCGAAAACGCTGTAGCAACATATGACGAAATCATGAAAATGAATAGCATTTCTATTGAGGAACATCACTGTCATTCTTTTCAGACGTACATCAATTAACGTGAATCAAAAGGTTTCGAAATTTATTATTCAAGCATCTTCAAAGTGTAATCATATTTTCTTTCGCTGATAATCTTAATTGTCATAAAAGGCCGGAATTTCTCGTAAGAACGAGTGGGCGCAATCGACTCGTTATCGTTTTTATACGGATGAATTAATCCTCCGGAATCACTCTCCCTATCTCGACGCGTCGTTATATTACGATGCAAGCAAGCTGATTCTCGCTGCCACGCCCATGAAGCGATCGTTTCGGCTCACTCGTGGAAGAAGCGGGACTACCTACGCGACGACGCTTAATACAGAAATTACGAATATTTTCGCCGTTTCGATCGCGGGTTGTTGGATAAACGTACGCGCGATTTCATCTCTGATCGCGTTTATCTCCGACACAATGACGCGGCGTTAAAGAGCTGCGAGCCACCTCCTCACGATGCAAACCTTTCGCTGCGAATCCGATCTGTCCGATCTGTCACGATCTCGTGCGCTAATGGCCGGCTATGCTAATCTGAGCCCTACGTTGTAACGATCCCCTTCTGTCTCTCTCTCTCTCTCTCTCTCTCGCTTACGTAATTAGACGAGGGAAGATAATTTCTGATTCGCGCACTCCGCAAGAAGGCTTACTAATTAAATGCAATTATCCGTTGGCAAACAAGTTTGATCCCCTTGCGATTTGCCGTTCACAAAGCGAAACATTTATTAACTTCTTGCCGGTCTCCTGTATTTTGTTTCGAGGTTAAACGGATCGAGATCATGTAAGCGGGTCAACAATTTTGTGTCTAATATCAAAAATTAATTAAAATTAATAATTACAAGTAGAAATTAGGCCGATAAAAATAAATCAATTAAAATAATTCTATTTTCGGTCAGAACGGATCTTGGTAATATTAATCGTGGAATTGAAATTCTATCGAGAGAGAG